GGTGTTTTGTTGCATACTTATTATCGGATTTAGCTTTGGATTTAACTTGAATCCAGCTAAACACCGAAACAAAGAAAAATAAATCCAACACTCCTTTAAATCGCATTTCATCGTGTTTTGTCATTTTTTTCTAGCGTCCTTTACATGTTGGATGTAAATCTAGATTTAGTAAATCTGATCGCGCGACGGATCGTGCGAGTTCCTCCCATCGTTTGTGGATTTATCGGATTACATAAATCTTATTAAATGTAAATCTGATTTGCAGCCAAACACTGCCTTAAAGAGTTATTCAGTATATAATGCTTGTTTAAAAAACTGTAAATTGCTACGTCCAGTTACATTAATGGCCTTAGGGAAAACATTAGGAAGGAAATAAATCTCTGTTATCACAGGACAATTAATGAGCCTACACTTTAGTTCACTAAAAATTAAATTTTATCCCTAGTGTCCAATTGTTGTTTGCTGTTCTATTCCTTGTATGACTCTGAAGTAACAAAATTTTTCTTAACTTTTTGAACATACACCAGCACTGCTATCATATTAATTTCCCTCTTATTCTAATTCGGAAATTATAATCTATGAATTTAAGCGCAAAGTTGATTATGAGATCGATATTTATTCCATTAAATCACCACTTATTTAACAAACTATTTATTATTACGAGATTTTCATTCATTCGTTTATTCCATTTCCATAATACTATAAAGAGCATACAGAACTATAATGTCTAGTAGTCTTGTCTATTGCAATTAGAAAGGTGGCCTAAGTTGTTCATCAAGAAGATAATTTATTTGATCTATAAATATTTAGGAAATTTTTTTTTGAATTTTGAGAAATGCAATTGGATTATTTTTTCTATTTGTCTAAATTTATTTTGCTTATACTAGGCCCATTCTCAACCTCATTTGAAATTTTTTCCTGTCTGTCAAGTATACCTTATGACTTTTATTCCATAACCCTTTACATACGTCATAATATCATATTGAATTACCCCATTCACTGGTCATATACATGTGTTCCATGCTTATACAACAACATCAGCAACAAAGCCTTAATCCCACTACATGTTCCATGCTGGTCATAAAAATAAAATGACATTCAATTAAAATTTAGATATTTTCATGATTATTTTTAGTGCTTGAGGTTACTATGCAAGATGTATTCCATTGTTGCATAGATCCATCATATAACCTAGTTGCACTTTTGCCTACTTTTATTACCTATTAGATCCTTTGACCATTTTTGTATTACTTGAAAGCTGGGACCTCACATGTATGCATTTGTTTTGCATGTTGAAATGAGTTAGTTTTATTTTCTATATTTAGCATATGTTAGTTGAGCTTTTTTGTGCCTTTTGTATTTTGTATTGATGTATTTCTAAGTGAAGTTTCTCATTTTTCAAAAGAAGTGGCGACATCTATTCTTACACTTCTATTTTGAATGAGCTCATTGACATTCCTTATGATTGAATCGACCTCTAATATTTTGGAAGTACCATCGACTATATGATGATTCATATTTAGCGAAACATGTTTTTGCTTCATTGCATTCTCACTGCCACATGGTGGTGTGTTCTGAGTCGTGGGAATTAATTTGGGCATAATTTTTAAATTTTTATTATTGTTGTTTTATTTTTTTTAATGTATTTAATATTTCGTGATTTTCTTAAGAATTCTCTAGTTTATCATTTGAGTTTTTTAGTCATGTAATACAGCTAATGGAATGAATACAATTTATGTTGTATGTTTGAAACCTTTTTTTATTTATTCCAAAAAAATTGATTGAAATCCTTTGCTAAAATTAGGATATTTCCACTCCAATTAGCCTCGTCCTTCCCCATAATTGAGGTTCTTGAACCTTCATATCATCTTTCAACACTTCTTGGTTTAAATCCTTGCTAAAATTAGGATTTGTCCACCCAGATTAGTCTTTGAATGCTCACTTCATCACTAACTCTCTTTCTTAGCTGGTTCATCCTTCATCTGTAGTTTCAGGTTTTGGACAGTAGCATGACAGGAATTGGGTGGTAGACCTGCACTGTTTTATTCCTGCAACATTAATAACTTTTAATATAAACCACATTAACATGATCCTTAATCAGTTGTGAGGATAAAAATCTTCTTGGGGAGACAATTTTCTTGTTCAAGCATGATTTTTTTATTTATTATTTTCTTCCCAAGTTTGATGTTCTAGAATACTCACTTCACAACTAACACTCTTTGTTTCAGCCTCCATCACTAGTTTTAGGCTCTAGATAATAGCATGGCATGAATTGGATGGTAAACTTGCACTATTTGGTTCTTACAAATCACAGACGGGCCAAAGTGCAATGGTTAGAGAGGACAAGAAAATAATAAATGAAAAATGTTGGGATTTTTTTAGAATGTTTTGTACAAATATAGCATTCAAGGATATTTATAGAATTCATACGCAAGTCCACACTAAGGCTATACAATGTGAAACCAAGAATCTTAATTACTAACATATAAATGCCTAATACTGAAATCTTTTGGTTTATCTACAAAGACAAACAACAAGTAAACATTAATTTATTATAAAACCACATTAACATGATCCTTAATAAGGTGTGAGGATGGACAATCTTCTTGTTCAAGCATGATCTTTATTAATTTCTTCCCAAAGATTGAAGTTCTTGAATATTCTCTTAACCACTAGCCCACTTTCTTAGTTGATTCATCCTACATCCCTATTTTTAGGTTCTGGAAGTAGCATGGCAGGTATTGGGTGGTAGACCTACACTACTTGGTTTCTACAGCACACAGACAAGCCGAAGAGGAATAGTTAGAGGGAAAAACAAATGAAAATTGTTGGGATTCTGTTTAGAATGTTCTTTTACAATTATTAATCCTAGGATATTTATAGAATCCATACGTCAAGGCCACACTAAAACTATACAATGTGAAACCAAGAAACATAATTAGTAACCTATAAATGCCAAATGCTGAAATATTTTGTTTTATATACAAAGACAAACAACAAGCAAACATTAATAATGTTTAATATAAAACCACATTAACATGATCTGGTGTGAGGATTAAAATCTTTTGGGAGAGATAATCTTCTTGTTAAGTATGATCTAGTTTCTTACTATTTTCTTCTCAAGATTGACGTTCTTGAATACACACTTCACCACTAACCCTCTTTCTGAGTTGGTTCATCCTGCATCCCTAGTTTAAGGTTCTTGACAGTAGCATGGTAGAAATTAGATGGTAGGCCTGCACTGTTTGGCTCCTAGCATTTATAGTTTAGTAATTAAGTTTTATGTTTTCACATTGTATAGTCTTAGTGTGGCCTTGCGTATGTATTCTATAAAAACAAAAGAAAATTGTTGGGATTCTGTTTAGAATGTTCTTTTACAGATATGACAATCTAACATATTTACAGAATTCATATGCAAGGCGACACTGAGACTATACAATGTGAAACCAAGAAACTTGATTACTAAACTATAATTCCCAAATACTAAAATCTTTTTGTTTATATACAAAAAAAAAAAAAAAAGAAGCAGATATTAATAAATTTTAATATAAAACCAAGTTAACATGATCTTTAACCGGATGTGTGGATTAAAATATTTTGGGAGAGAATCTTATCGTTCAAGCATGATCTTGTTACTGATTATATTCTTCACAAGGTTGGCGTTTTCGAATACTCACTTCACAACTAATGCTTTTTCGTTGTTGGATCATCCTTCATCTCTAGTTTCAAGTTCTGTACAGTAGCATGGCACGAAATGGATGGTAAACTTGCACTGTTGTTTCCTAGAACAAACGGACAAGCCAAAGAGTAATACTTGGAGAGGTTAGAAGAATGAATGAAAATTGTTGGAATTCTATGTAGAATGTTCTCTTACAAATATGATATGCTAGGATATTTATAGAATTCAGATGCAAGACCACACTAAGGCTACAATGTAAAACCAATAAACTTAATTACTAACCTAAATGCCAAATACTGAAATCTTTTCGTTTATCTACAAAAAAAACACCAAGCAAATATTAATAATGTTTAATATAAAGCCACATTAACATGATCCTTAAACAGGTACGAGGATTACAATCTTTTGGAAGAGAATCTTCTTGTTCAAGCTGATCTTGTTATTTATTATTATTATTATTATTATTTTTATTACTTTTCCTAGTTTTCTTTCAAGCTTTTGTGCATCACAGCTTCTAATCCACTTTTTATTATCTACAATTAGTGTTTCAAGGCTTGCCTTAATTTGGAACTTATCCACCAATTCATTGTGGCTTTTTTCTATTTGTGAGCAAGAGCATATTCATAGCATTAGCAGTTCTCAGGACACTGATTGCAAGCTCCGTCCTGTTACTTTGGACACAGCTTGTGGGCTCTTAACTTCTTAACTGTTTTAAAGGCTTAATATTTTATTCTAATCATACCACGTTGTAACTTTACTAAAACTGACATCATAATTTCTATTTGTACTGAAAGCATGCGATGGATTGTGTTGTACTATGTGTTAGCATTTGCCGCTCTCAGGACGCTGATTCAAGCTCCGTTCTGTTACTTTGCACACAGCTTGTGAGCTCTTAAATTCTTAACTGTTTTAAAGGCTTGATATTTTATTCTAATCACACCATGTTGTAACTTTACTAAAACTGACATCATAATTTTTATTTGTACCGAAAGCATGGAATGGATTGTGTTGTACTACGTGACTGCAACTTTTTTGACATCACTACTTTGTATAAGAAATATATAAAGTGATGCTTGTACTAAATTTATTATATGATTTCATGTACTGATCAATCCAGAAACTATTAAATAGGAATTAGGACTGTATTTTCTCACTTGTAGTCTTATCTTGTAGTGAAATATTCTAATTTTTCAGGCCCTTTGTTGTGCATGTTCTCTTCCCATCTCCTGGAAAAATAAGTTGAATGGAATGACCTTATCTTCATACACTACATTATCTCCATTTCAAATTATAGTCACCATTTCACATGACTGTAATGCAGGATGACAACTTGGATCTGTCTCTTGTTGAGATTGATGATGCTTTAATGGTTGAAGAAGATGATGTCTCAGATGATCAAGATGATGATCATGATGAGGTAACTTGCATTTTTAATTCTTTCTATGCAATGTTGTCTAAGGATTCTATATGCGTTTGGTTAATGATTTATGATTATTTCTTGTCCTCACTAGATTTTTTGAAGTGGTTGCATTTTGAGAAGTTTAGCCTCAGGGAAGCTGCTTGTATACTTTACTCGCAGGCATTTTTTAAAAATAGAATCCCATAATTCTCTTTTTCAGGTGTTAAGGGATGATTCTCTTCCTGTTTGTACACCTGATAGGGTGCATGATGTGAAATTAGGAGATCCTTCTGATGACTCTGCAATTCCTTCTTCAGCAAGAGGCGGACACACTCGACCTTCTGCTTCTACAAATAAGACTGTTGCAGCTAGAGGCTCAGAATCTACTGAATTGAGAAGTGGAAGTACATTTAGTTCAAGGGGTGCAATGTCGTTTGCTGCTGCTGCTGTGGCTGGACTTGCATCTGTAGGTGGTAGAGGAATCAGAGGTTGCAGGGGTCGTCGTGGACTTCCAAATGGAGGCAGTCTTAATGAAAACCATAGTAAGTTGGTATTCTCTATAGGTGGGAAGCAACTGAGCAAACATATGACCATATATCAAGCTATCCAAAGCCAACTTATGCTGGATGAGGATGACGGTGATAGGCTAAATGGGTCTGAACTTATGCCCACTGATGGAAGCAGATCCTGGAGTGATATATTTACTATAACCTACCAAACTGCAGATAATCAGGCTGATGGATTAGCTCTAGGGTCATCTTACTCAGCCAAATCTATGAAATCTTATCTTGCCTCAAATTCTAGTTCAGATGCCAGGTGGCAACACTTGTGCCTCCCTGATAGCATCTTGCAAGGGGAGCTTCCTTGCGAAATTGAGAAATCAAACCCCACATACCATGTTTTAGCATTATTACGTGTCCTTGAGGGTCTCAATCAGCTAGCTTCTCGCCTAAGAATTGATGAGGCTGATGAGCATTATGATGGAAAAATTATTGGATTTGATGGACTACATTTTGCTGGTACCAAACTTAAACAAGAAGAGTTTATCAACAACAAACTAACTCCAAAGCTGACACGACAAATCCAAGATGCTCTTGCATTATTTAGTGGCAGTCTTCCTTCATGGTGCTATCAGTTGACCAATGCATGCCCTTTTCTTTTTCCCTTAGAGACAAGGAGACAGTATTTCTATACATCATCCTTTGGACTATCTCGTGCTTTGCATCATCTTCAGCAACAACAAAATGCTGAAAATACTAGTGCCATGAATGAACGAGAAGTTCGTCTTGGTAGATTGCAACGACAAAAGGTTCGTGTTTCAAGAAATCGTATATTGGAGTCTGGTGCAAAAGTTATGGAGATGTATGCTAGCCAGAAAGCTGTTCTGGAAGTGGAGTATTTTGGTGAGGTTGGCACAGGTTTAGGTCCCACATTAGAGTTCTATACTCTTTTAAGTCATGACCTACAGAAGGCTGGACTTGGATTATGGAGATCCAGCACATCATCAGAAACATCTGTAATGCAAATTAATGGAGGGGAAATGAACAATGATGACACCGCTGATGGAAAGAAAATGCCTTCTGTGCTTTCTACTCAAAGAGATTTTGTTGTTGCTCCTCTGGGATTGTTTCCTCGTCCATGGCCTCCAAGTGCCAATGCCTCTGAGGGTAGCGATTTCTCAAAAGTTGTCGAGAATTTTCGCTTGGCTGGTCGCATCATGGCGAAAGCTCTACAAGATGGCAGACTTTTGGATCTGCCTTTATCAACAGCATTTTATAAGCTTGTACTTGGTCAAGTATGCCTGTGAAATTGCTTGGATTTCACTTTTTTTTTTTCTTTTAGGATATATTGTGGGGATTTTGATTTTTGTCTTCTATTGCAGGAGCTTGATTTATATGACTTTCTTTCATTTGATAGTGAATTTGGAAAGATACTGCTAGAACTTCAAAACCTTGTTAACCAAAAAAGGTTTCTGGAAACTGTTACCGAAGGTAATCAGACAATGGTAGATGATCTGCATTTTCGTGGCTCTCCAATTGAAGACCTTTGTCTAGATTTTACCCTTCCTGGGTTTCCAGATTACATTCTTAAAGAAGGAGAAGAAAGCTTGGTGGTACTATTTGTATCCTCCAGTAATCATCTCTTCTGTATTGGTATTATGTTTTTGTTATTGAAAGTTGTATTTATATTGTAGGTTAATATTGAAAACTTGGAAGAGTACATTAACTTGATACTAGATGCTACAGTTAAGACAGGAATTATGCGGCAGATGGAAGCATTTAGAGCAGGATTCAACCAGGTATTTTGTCTCTCCATGTATATTTTTTTTCCTTTTTTTACAGCATGATTTCTGTATGGAATTTTATGTTGGTATTCAGAGGTAGCTTTCATTTTGTGGATATTCTGTATTTTTGTGTCTTGGCATGCTTTGTCTTTTTTGTTTCACTGTAAAATTATCTTTTGGCATTCAGATGTAATTGTCATTACGTCTCAACACATTATAAATTATTCTTATTGTCCGAATGTGTGACTCAATCAACTCTCATTAGCATATTGTTCTTATAGAAATTCTGATTAGGCATTTCCTTTTTTTTTTACTCTAATTCTATTTTGTAAGCTTGTTTGCGAGACGGGAATATAAAAGATTCAGCTTTTTTGTCCTCATTTCTTATTTTTGTTTTTAAAAAAATATGTTTGGTTAGTGTTTTGTAACTATTTATATCTTATTTTAACAAGTTATTTTTAAATGATTCAATATAATTTTAAGCATTTTTACTATTTTCAAATTATGGACTCAAAAGCTTTCTATCTCATACACTGGCCATTGCCACCCTGTTGGTTGTTGCCATCCCACCATTGCAACACATATGATTGTTGTCCTTACCATTCAGCCCCAACACCCCCAACACACACACAATGGCTTATTGCCGCTACCTTATTGTTGGCTCGCCGTTGCCACCGTTGTAGAAATCAACTTATGCAATATTTAATACGAACAAAAAAAACCTATCCAAACTTGTTTTTGTTTGTATCAAATATATACAAAAAAATAAAAATTTAAGAAAAGTAAAAAAGAATTGAAGCCTTCCATTTCCTTCTTCATAGCATAGCATTATTTGAGCATGTTCTTTTTTTCATACAAATTCTCATGTTTTATTTCTTTTTCAAGAGCTTTCATCTCCATCTTCATATCATTACTTTAATTATCATTACTTGATGTCTCAAAGAATGTTGCAAGGATAGAAGTAGTGATATGTAGGTTAGTAAGGAAGATTCAATGATTATGAGAAAATTTTTTTGTTATGATATGAACAAGTGACGATGTTATTTAGTATTTGTGTCAAATATATACAAAAAAAGAAAAATAAAAAAAAGAAAAAAAATTGAAGCCTTCCATTTCCTTCTTCATAGCATTATTTGAACATGTTTTTTTTTTTTCATACAACATACAAATTCTCATGTTTTATTTTTATTTCTTTTCCAAGAGCTTTCATCTCCATCTTCTTATCATTACTTTAATTATCATTACTTAATGTCTCAAAGAATATTGAAAGGATAGAAGCAGTGATATGTACGTTAGTAAGGAAGATTCAGTGATTATGAGAAAAATTTTTGTTATGATGATATTTAGTGTAAGTTATTACACCTTTGTTACTAAGATTCCTTTTAGTTGTTGCAGGGTCGATATTTCCCTCTATGGGTTCAATAATAAGAATTGATTCAATTGATTGAACTTGCTGAAAAAGGGATGATTGGTACCCACTCAGAGGAATCCAGTTGCTTAGAAAGTATCATATGATCTTCAATATTATCTACTTTGTAAAAATCCATACTTCTAATAAAGAAAATTATTGTTTCAACACCTATTTCTTCATCACTCACCATTTATTGTTCTCAAGGATATTTTTTTCTTTTTAATTCAAAGAATTTTATTGTGATGCTCGTGAATTCTAAAGTACAAATGCACCAACTTTCCCATAACTGATGAAAGAACCTTTTTTTTTCATTTATAATGATATATAAAGACTAGTCATTGCATCTAGCATCTCAAGGGCTTGATGATTTGTATCTTTTATCGATAATTGTATGTACTTGTATCTTATATCGATAATTGTATGCACTGTCATGATCCTTTTAGGAAAGTCAGAAATGATTTTAGTAAAATTGTTCAAACATTTTACAACAAGATCAAAATTAATTTAGAGTTGAAATAAAAAAGTTGGATCCAATAATATCAAGGATGATTTTATCCATTTCCTTTTATCATAAATAGTACCAAGTCACGAGTCATCTTGTGTACATATATATCAAGAATATGGAGTGATAAAAATGAGAATCACCACTTGCTATCACAAGGGCTCACCTTTTTCAAAAGAATGTTTCAAAATAATATTGGTAGAAGTTGTTTTAATTCATAAACTAGTTACGTACAAGAGTTCTTGTCTATTTAAGAGATCAATTTTGTATAAACCTTTAAATTTGTGCCAAGCAAAACTTAGTGGAGCTTCACAAAGCTCGATTTGTTCAGGTGCATTTGTGAGATCAAGTAGTGGGTGCTCTTGCTCTTAAATCAATATTGCATAAAAATTTCTCCGCCTACTTCATGGAATGGATGGTTTCAAATTTTGTGTAGTTTGATCTTTGTTTAGGTTTTGCATCTATTAGGGCTATAATCGAGTCAAGCTAAGTCGAGCCGAGTATATTATTGTTCGGACTTGACTTGGTATAATTATAAGTTTTTCATGTTTGGCTTGAGCTTGTGTCGATCTTTTATACATTGTTCAAGTTTGATCTATTTAACTTTTTCAATGTTTGTACTTGATTTGTTTAGGATAAGTGAATGAGTATTTAAACAAGCTAAAAATTCAAATGAGAGTCTAGATTTTGATATAAAAAATTTAATAAATAATTTTGTAATTCTAATCGCAGCTACTAATTTGTTGATTATGAACTCTAATATCTTTAAACTTTACTACCTAACTACATAATTCTTATTGATAGGACTACGCCAGTTCAAATTCCGCAAGTGAAAGAACTAAATCGATTTAAATGTTATAGGAATTATCATATACTTTATCATATTAATAAGAAAATAATCGCAATAATGTAATCCATATTGATGTTGTTAGTAATTGCTGTGTGATGTTCATAAAAAATAAACTCATTATATTCAAGGTTATGAAAACTCTACAAAAGAAATGTTTTATGACACGCTTTTTAACTGTAAATATCTCATTTGAAATTACCATTCTCTTATTAATAAATTAAATATATAATTAATAATTAAACTAAAAATAATATTGATACGATAATATATTACTATTAAATCTATAATAAATAATTTATAACTAATTAAATTTTATTTAAAAAATATATCATATAATATGAGTTATTATCGAGCTTAATATCAAGTATTTAATTAGTTATTTGTTGAACATCAAGCGATTTTATTTGTGAACATAAACGAATAAGTTCGACTATGTTCATGTTCAGTTCGTATAAGCTCCGAGCTTTTAAAAATTGTTCGAACTTGTTTGTTTACTAATTTGAATGGACATGATTGAGCCTTAGTCGAGTTGAGTTGAAGTTGTTCATCAAATGCATTGGTTCATTTGCAACCCTAGCGTCGATGTCTGTCGGCTAGGTGCCAAACATTCAAAAAGATATTATGTCTAAAAATTTATCAGCATGTTAGTTAATTTCTTGTGCATGAATGTCAATTCATATTCTTATGCTCTAGTGCCAACTAAAGTGGATAGATTGCGATTACCTTACCGTCTCTTGTATTGACACTTGTGTAAGTTCTTTATCAATTCACATTGAGCAAATTACTTCAAATGTTCACTTGTTTTATCAATTAACTTATACCATATTCACACATTCTTGTGTACTTCATTGATTTAATTGTTATTTATTGAGCTTTTGTTTTTATTTGTTTGAGAAGGCTTCCCATTGAAGAATTTTGAAAGGAATACAAAATTTCAGTGTATATCCATGATGCGGGCGTCAGTTAGGCCGCGGATCACGTCTGACGATCTAGTCAAACCAAGCGACATCTTTTTAATTTATTTCTAAGTTTTAGCACATTTCCTTTTATTATTTATTTCTTTTTAATCATTTTCTATATATGCATTGTATTAAGGTTTGAATTCTCAGTTTATGCTTATGTTTTTCCGTGACAGCATCCGACATCTCTATTTTTCTCCTTGAGAGCTGTACTCAAGGGTTGAGTGGTTCTCCGGCTGTATCTCGCTCACGAGATGGTGATTATCTTTCCTTGTACCCCTTCCACATCCTTCCCACATTGCTCCCCGTCGCTACCCAAAGCCCTTCTCTGTTGCAGCCTCCCGGAACAGTGATCTTTACTGTTTTTCCTGCAGTTTTTTTTGCTTACCAGCTGCTGTTTTCCTCTTCCCTGTTTGCTCCCGCCATCCATAAGGAACTGCTATTCCTGCATGTTCCAATCTCCCCAGTCACTCCTCAAAGTCCTGCCTGATGTATCCCAACTATCCATATCTGCCACCGCTGCTGTTCCAACATTCCCTATTTGCTGCCACCACCCAGAACAGCAAGGAGTTGTTGTCCCAGTGCTCTACCCTTGCAGTCGCCACCTTCTTCTTTTTGCCATCGTATAGGACAGTATCCCCATCAATCTCCATTGCTTGCTTGCTGTCTGGGGAACTTGAAGCAGCCGCCTTGTTGTTTTTGCTTGCCAATTGGTCCTTTTCCACTCTTCGATCCTGCCCTAGTTGGAGCTAGTGTTGTGTCTGTTGCTATCTCAGATGTCGGTTGTATTTGGTTATGATTTTCTAGTAATTTTAGTAACAATACTCGCTTTCTTATTGTTGTTTTGGTTAACTTCGATATCATTTGCTATCACAGATAGCCTGACCCTAATCCTATTTTCCTATCCCTCTGCCTAACCCAACTTTCTCACCCAATATCACTCCCATATACTCTATCCCATTTACCCATACCCAAAACCTAATCATGCCATCGAGGAAACAAGAGTTGAATGTCGATCAAGAGTTTACCATGGAAGAGATAAAGTGACAACTCCGTCGAGTGCTGCAACAACTCGTTGAAATTGAGGAAAGGAACCATAGAGAGGTCATCACCGACCGTTATAGCGAGATCCGAGGAGAGTGAGAAGAACATCTGAATCCCTTCCGTAGGGATTATTTCAATGAAGAGGATGATCAACTACGATGCTTCCGGATTCAATATTAGAGGAAACTGAGAGAGGAAGTGCCCGTTAGAGGATACATATACTTATGGGTCAAAGCGGATATATCGGAT